TAACGAGCTGTAAGCCTACAGCTCCCCCTAGTGGCCCTTCACCCTCCCCGTCACCTTTAATGAGAAACAACAACAATATATTTCCTGGAATTATCAAAGCCTTTTTATTTCTCATTGTTATTAAACACCTGCAAAGTAATATGTGAGCCAAACAAACCCTTGGCTCTACCAGAATGACCAGTATCTGTAATGGGACAACAACTGATCCTTTCTAAAGCAACTCAGCAGAATCAAGCTTGATCGCCCGATTGACGGTTTCAGAACTGTACACCACTTGTCGGACATACCCTCCCAAATCGATGTTGAGATGCATTGGTTCTGTCCAATCAGCTGCAGCGTCCAATGAGTGATCAATGCACAATAAGGAGGCGTATCGGCGGTTCATAAAACTTCACTAAAGGACGCTCAGGTGCTTCCTTGCTCATCTTTCCTCGATCCTCACGCTTTGGGGATGGTCTTCAAGATGGCGCACCAAAATAACTTCCGGTTAAGTTTAGGAGCGAAGAAATGCCCAACTTGGGATGAACCCTAATGCTGTGTCTCAATGTGGATACTTCCCTTCGTACACTGCCATGTTGTGCACTGTGAACACGTGGGCAGTGTGTGAATTTCAACCAATAAGTGTTGTTTTAAATTGCACATGTGATGTTACAACTGTTAGCTAGCTAGCCACCAAGCAACGTTATTGTTTACTGAGTCATTACAGACTACTTAACTAACCCATTAAACTATATGTGGCTTCTTTTTGACACCAGTACTGTTGGTACATGTATTAAATACAGAAATACAACCGCATTCTTTGGTCTTATTTGTATAGAGCGGATTTCACCAAAGCACTTCCGTTACGTAGCCAGAAATAGGGGTAACTTTTAGACCGTTGTGACCAATTGGCAACACTTACACACTCTAAAAGCTAGTTTAAGTACAGAAGTACGCACATTGAGACACAACGTATGTCTTTCCTTCTCAAGGTTCAAGGTTCGTTTATTTGTATAGCACATTTTAAGACACAGAGGTGTGTTCAAAGTGCTTCACTTCGGCATTTAACACGTAATAATAATATTTTTTTAAAACACACAAACAAAAGCAAAAAAAAAACAATAATAATACATTTAATTTATATAGCGCTTCTGTAGGAGTTTTGAGGTTTTTACAACCCCACTCTGCTCCGCGTGTCGTTTTGACGAGTCCTGCTTAAAATCATAACAGGAAGGACATCAGACAGAGCACACCCAGATACCAGTTTAAACAATAATCTGTTTTAATTATCAAAGGTAATAATGCAATGCAATATAATACATTACAATACAATATAAATATACTACAATTATATTGTAATGTGTAAGGAGTATGGCGGCCCACTCCTGCCCTGGTTCGCGTGCTGCGGAGATCCTTCCGGTCCTGACAGCATGTGAAGAGAGGCCGAACTCAGGAATCAACAGAATATATACCAGAAGACAGAAGGAAGGGGTGAGGTCAGCTGGTCATCTTTTCAGGTCCCCTCATTGGCAGACGCAAAATATGCTTTGTCACAGTGACCCAGCGCTGGCCAGCAGAAAACCAAACAGGCCCATTTTACAACAAAACACATCTTATCACCCAAGTCATGTGTTTCTTTATGAAAGCCATACTTGTTGGGAATATAACAGTCATTATCCCATGACATCCTCAGAACTAGCTCACCAACAAGCCTAACTGTCTTCATACCCCCCCAATCATCTCTGAACTTTTATTCACCCGAAGTAAGCTCACCCTTAGTCTAAAAGGACCATTGTCTCTCTTAACTGTGTGACTAAATTCTCAAGGCCTGGCAGGATGCGCATAATTAACTTAGAACGAATTTAGCCACTATATCTAATGGTTAACCAAGAAAAACACTCAAAAGGGTAATCTTTTCACTCAAAACAGAACTCACAAGTAATTCTGCATTTTACCCCTCAAAAATAGCCTAAAGCACCCTTTTGATGAAAAGGGTACAAGTGAAAGAAAAAGACTATTGCGCTAATCTACTTTAAAGAAAAAGGGAACATTGTTTCAGGAATCTATAAAAAACCTCTCTATATTTAAGAGGAAAATGTATTTTGTTCCTTCAACTATTAATACACAGGAATGTATATACCCACACATATATTTAGGGATAACATGATGCAATACACCTCTTATATATTGGTGAGATTAAAATGAATATACCAAAAATATGCTGCATCACATCTTCTGCATAATTCTCTTCATAAACTTCCGCACTTCTCATCTGCCAAGACAAATCTCGAAGTGCTTCACAACAAAGGATACTAATACACTTTGATAGATTAAACAAATAATTGTAATAATAATAATAAGAAATTAAAAAAAAAAAAAAATAATAAAGTACAAAAATAAAAGTCGGTGATAGCGATAAAAATGGCAGTACTCCAGGTGTACCATGCTCAAAGTTTATTGGAAGGCCTGCCGAAAGAAGAGGGTCTTAAGGGCCGGTTTTGAAGACCTCGGTGGAAGGGGCAGATCTCAGCTGATCTGGGAGGGAGTTCCAGAGGCGCGGGGGCGAATGAGCAGAAGGCTCGGTCTCCCATTGTTCGGAGACGTGTGCGGGGGATGTGAAGAAGAGGAGCGTGGCCTGGAGCGGAGAGAGCGGGTAGATGTCTGGGTATGGATGATGTCACAGAGGTATTT